CTACTGTCGGAGGGTGTTTTAGGATCCTGAATCAAAGGTCTGCAGGACAAACAAGTTTTCTGGGAAGCACTTTGGCACTTTAGGGGTCACTCTACAAAGCCCCAGGTATTTTTCTAAGTGCCTTACGTTTACCGTGACATTTAACCTTACTCTAACCCTGTGAACAGAGCTAGGTATTGTTAAGACCAGTAATTTTGATAGTAAAAAAATAGGCCTCTAGACATCAGAGTAGGATTGTGTGTGTGTGTGTGTGTGTGTGTGTGTGTGTGTGTATGCCTTAATCTTACTCAGATGTACGCATTTAAGTGGTAGGTTTAGGGCTTGAATAAGTCTGTCAGGTTCCCGCTCTTTCCACTATACCACACTGCTTCCCAAACTGCCTTGAGGGGAAGATGCTATAGGTTGGCTACAAGGCAGAAGATTTCCTGGGAAGTAGGAATATATTCCCTCCAGTATATTTTAAAGCCTCTCCCAAATTGGCTTGCCTTAGGTCTCAATGGTCATCTAAATATCCACTGACTTTCTCCTTACTTCCCTCCCTTTCTCACTCTCTTCCTCTCTTGCTTCCTCCCATCCTGCCTTCTTCCTCTTAAATTAGTATGAACACAGCTTATAATATCCAGCTCTGTCTTTTCCATAACAAGCCAGAAAAATGAAAGGATGTAAGTTAGAGGTAGATTCAAACTCTAGAAAGGTGGGAGCTGAGAAGAGGAAGAGAAGACTGATCATGTTGCTGTTTATAAGTGGAATATCTACCTACCTCTATTGCTTTAATGTAGATAAATGCCCATAACTTTCAAGTATTCCATTTGAGATGCCCTTGATTTCCGGGCAATTTTATGATTTGTCTCTCAAATTGTATTTCTTCCCTGGAATCTATTTAGAATATTCTTATACATAATGAACTCTTCAGTTATCCTTATGGGCATTTATTTCATTTGACATTATTCTCCATTTGTTGATTATTTCTAACTAGTTTAGAAACTTGTTAAGTTAGAGATTTAATTTTATGTCTTTGTCTCTTTCCCAGTATTTATAGAATAACACACAAAATAAGACTCAATAAGTACTTACTGAAAAAAATATTTTTTATTTTACGTTGAAATGGAGGAAAAAATACAAACTATTTTTGTTTGAAATGTAGAAGTACATTTCAGTTATCTCTTGAATAATATCAAAGTAATTTCACTAGGCACTCTCAATTATTTTGTATTATCTTAAGGTTGATTTTTAATATTTATCACAAATCCATCTTTTCTGCCATGCCGTAAAACCTTATTCATGATTGTTTTTTCACCAGGAGCAAAGATGTAGAAGGATCATTTTTAGAGACAGGCTGTTTAATTGCTTTACCCTTTATGTTATTTCTTTTCTTGTGCTTAAAAGGTTTGATATGCCAACCCATGGAAATAAAATATGGCTCCAGATTCATAGGTACCACAAAATAAATTGGGAATCTCTATTAAAATGTATGTAGGAGGAGTAAGATACAATTGCCCAGAGGGTGCCATGGTCTGGAGAAAGTGTAAGAAGCCAAATTTCTGAGAGTAAAATCATTAGTAAAGCTTTTTGCATGCCTTTAAAAAAATGAGTTGTTAGTAATTCGTATTTAGTTTTTGTACTTTGATAACAGTGACTTGCCTTCGCATAGTAATCTTGATACTTAGAAAGTGAAATGACCATTTTCTCCATTTTTTTTGAAACTGTTATTAAGTAATCTGTTCAAGATGTGTTGATAATTAAGTAGACCGGGCTCTTCTGTTTTTGTTTTTTGTTTTTTGTTTTTTTGATATCAAGTCCTTGGTTTTTAGACTTCAGGTATGCATTACTTCAAGATAATTATGCTAACCTTCTCTGAGAGAAATCTCTAGCTCCTGGTACATTTTCTTTGGAGTTGTTACTTATTAAACCTAAACTATTAAGAGCCTCAATTAGTTCTCTGCTCTCTGATATTCACTATGCCTTAAATGAAGTTTTATATATTCTTAGTTTTATAGGTTATTGGTAAGCCATATTTTGATTCAATTGAGTTTAATTTAACTTATCATTACCCTAAAATAGCCTTTTTTCTTTTTTCCTTTTTTCCCTTTGCAACTATTACTGATTACAGCTGTTAGTGACATTTATTATATCTCAAATAAAACATTGTATAAATCGACATTCATTCAACAAAATTTTTAATAAATGACTACGACATGTAAGGTATTGTGCTGGGATATGGATATACAAAGAGAGATAAAACATATTTGCTGCTCTTGTGGGGTTCTGTTCAGTCAAGGAAAGGAGAGAGACAAGAAAGATAATGACTAAAATATTACAGATGCTAAAATGCTGTGATCGAAGTACAGAACTCACGTGTTGATTCATTAAATGTTATGCCAGGAACAGTTTTAGGTCCTGGGGAAATGGTAGTGAACAAAAAAGACAAAAAGCTTTTCCCTCACAGAGCTGACATTCTAGTAGGGATCTTAAGGATCATGAAGTAACAATCATTTGTAGTTATAAAATCCTACATAGAAAAGGTGACATTACTTTCTGGGTCTTATTTGGAGACACAAAAAAAGCTTTATTGGCACAGAAATGACTATTAGGAATCTTTGTAATATCATTTATATATCAGAATAATTGCATGAACGTGACAAGTAAAGCTACTTTTCAATTTATAACTTCAAACCCTCCAAATAATGCACAGGGTATGCTGTGGATGGCAGATTTTTACTATGAGGATACTTTTTGAATTCAGCCAATTTCTAAAGCTGTCAATTCTCTATATCTGTACTACCATAAAAGATAAATTCATTTAAAGCTAAATAAGGTAGAATGGTACAATTTGTCTCACTTGATTCAAGAATAATGTCTTCAATTCTTTGGTGTATGTTACATCAGAACAGATTTTTCTTCCTAAAATGGAAGACTTTCAAGAATGTCAACCTTGTTTTTTCTGTTGTTTAGTCTTTCAATTTCAGTATAAACTAAATGTACCTTATCCATCTTGTTCTTTCCTGTGCCGTGATGTTCCCTGTAAGTTCTCCATATGTTAACTTTGGCGAACCATAATAACTTAAGATAAACCATATTTTTATAAAATAACATTAGTGTTATTATTGTTATTTAGGGGGCTAGATCTTCATAATGAGCAAAAATACCTCATCTCACAATCTCATTTTGTTTTAAAATCAAATAAGATAATTAACTAATTTAAAATGCACTATGAAAACATCAAAATGCCAAAACCTGTGAACTTCTACAATTGATTTTATTTATATTGTTAATTTCAGTGACTAGAGAGCTACAAAGAGGGCTATCTTTTTTGCAGCTCTCATAAAAACCACTTATCTCTACATAATCTCTACATAGTTTTCTTTTGTTATTGGATTTTTTCCATAAGAATACTTCATTAAATCTATTTTGTTTATTCAATAAACAACTATTGAGAGTCAGAACTATGCTGGGCTCTAAAATAGTCTCCATCAAAATAAAGGTGAAAGACAAAAAGATCATTATATTATAAGTTGGTAAATTTATGACAGACATGTATTTTATACATCAGCTACAATTCTAACCTAGTTTTCCTTTTCTTAGCAGATCACCTCTCCACAGTGCTTCTTAAACTTGAAAATATATAGAATAATATTTTCTAGGTTCTACCCCTGTAGAGAGTCACCATACTTGGGAATCTGCATTTCCATAAAGCACAGGTGTTTTTAGGGCTGATAACCCTAGGACTTCACTTGGAGAAAAAATCCCTTTGTGCTCTTTC